TCCCATCACTTGTCACAAAGAAAGCACATTAGAGGACTCAGTGGGCACCAAGGAGCTGAATCCTGCCAAGTGGAGATGGACATTGATCTCTGTGTGTCCCTAGGCTGTGTGGTTTACCTCTCATTGCAAATCACACGGCACTGCATTCTGTCACTTTGCGGGGAAGGAGACCGAAGCCCCTGGGGTCAGAAGAGATAGTCATAGGTCCAGGAATGAGAGCTGGGGTCATAGGACTCCCCATCTGCAGGCCCCCCTCTCCTCCGGCTGTGAGTGGGCATTCCACATGGCAGGGCATCAAAAGGTAGGAGGAAGAGGCGGACAGGGCTTCTTGTGCTGCATGAGTGGACTTGGAAACAGTTATTGGAACTGGGATTTTTAAATGTTACTGAAGGAAAAGGAGTCCATGCTGAATTATATAATAGCTAACACTTCGAGAGTGCTTTAAAATTCAAATGCACATTCACATTCCAAATCTTGATTATTGGGCCTCGAAGGCAAGAATGTCTGATTGGGATCATTTTTATGAGTGGGAAACTGAGGCACAGGATGACGTGGGGGCTTGGCTGGTTTGCCCAGCCATGAGGGGACAGAGCCTGGAAAAAGCTCCCGTTTTCTGATCCGTGGAGGGTGCTGTTCTGCCAGCCCATCGCTGGTCAGGAGCCCTGGCCAGAGGCCAGACCTTGAGGTCTGTCTTTATTTAATTGTTAGGAGGCAGGAGGCCTGAGGCCGGGGCTTTTCCAAATTCAATACCCAAGGATTTTAAATTAACACCCGAATAGTTCTTACAGGGGACCTAGCTTAGAAAAGAACCTTAGAGCAGTCCAAGGATGATGGGGTTTGATCAAGCAAGGTCATACACCCACCTTCTCCCTCCACAATCTCACAACCAAGCTCCTTCTGAGAACATTGGGCTCTCTGGGCCAACCAAGCCGACCCCAGCCGGGACACGCTGCTCTCCACTCACATGGGACCAGCCCGACTCTGCACTTCTGAAATCAGAGCTGGAGGTGAACTGCTTTGCTCATTTCACTGCCTTTCTTCTCTCCTGAGTTTAACTGCTTTTTCTGGCCTCAGGGAATCCCTTGCAAGTTAATAAAACTCACTACATCAAAGGGCTCCACAACCATTACCCAATTAAAACCTCACAGCACTCCTGCAGCAGGTAAGCTGATTAACCCCATTTTACAGATGGGGAAACTGAGGTTAAGTGGTTTGCCCCCGGCTACCGAGGAAATGAGTGTCCCAGCTGGCATCAGAACTCGGTGGTTTGTTCAGATCCATCCAGGGGTGGTGGTTTCTGTCAAAATCTGTTTTCACAGCACTTTGATGCCTAAAGATTTCTTTTTCCTTCAGGAAACGGATTCCTTGCAGCCTGCACTCAGCGTGAAGAATTTCTCCAGAACTGGTTCATCTGATGCAGCCGCTCCTGCCTTCATGCAGGAGAGGGGACCATAAAAATAGATGAAAGCTAGGAGCTCAGTGCAGTCATTTGGGAAACAGTTTGGGCCTTTCAGAAATTAATGTTATTTAAAGATGCAGATTCATCCACCCCAGTGGCCTCCTGGGAGTGCTTCCCGAACCATCTGGTTCAATCGGCTCATTTTCTTTCCCCTAATCCTCCTGGCTCTCGTGTGTGTATGTACAGCGAAGGCTCCTGGGGAATTCACAGCATGAATAAAAAGCAAAGAGCTTTCTCTTTCACCAGGCACCTCTCCTCTTTCCCAAACAGCATAAAATTCCTAATCCTGTGTATTCTTAGGAGGGGTATAAAACTCATGTTCTAACAGACAATGAGGGGACCCAAGGAGGCCTCCACCTCTCAGTCCTCCAGCTTCACCCCATCCTTTGGGAGGACCTCTAAAACCTAGTGGTGTCAGGGAATAAATTTGCCCAGGCCTTCTGGAAGAGAAAGGAAAAAAAAAAAAAGAAATATCTTTTTGGTCTGGTTACAGCTAACCTTGAGCCACAGGAAAGATCTCAAAGACTCAGGTGAGTATTTTTCAAAAGGAGGGTTTCAATGCAGCCCCGACTGCGTTAAGTCCTGCTTCTTGCTGTTCAAGTCCAATTATCATCCACACAGGCAGGATGCCGTGTTTACATAAATAATTACCAGATTTTGGATAGCCAGACGTGTTTCGGCACACAGGAGGCAAGCCCATAAATTACATTTGAGGAATTAAGGGTCAGATTGATCTTATCTCTGTAAATCCGGCTGAATTCCAGCAAGCTAAAGGGACATCCGGTTGACTGAGCCTTGAGAGGCAAAGGCCCCAGAAGCCAGCCCTCCTGAGGATGTCGTTAACCCCACTGCCTTCCTTTTTTACTTCTCCCTGCTCTGGTTTGCAAGCTGGTTCTGAGAGCAAGGGGGTGGCAGGAAGAAGAACTGCCCCAACTTGCTCTTTGCCCAACCTGCAAGGGAGAAAATGGGAAAGGGGTGTAGGCATTCCTTCTTTTTCCTCCTGGACCACACAGGATCTCACCCTAAGAAAAACAGCAACAGGAGGGATGGGAAACAGAAAAGCTGGGAGAGCAACAGGACAGGGACCCTGCTCGCCTCCTGCACAGGCTGAGCCTCCATGTTTTCATTCATTCATCAACAAGTGGGGTCGGGTGTGGCTCCATGGTAGAGCCCTTGCCTGGCATGAGTTCCGACCTCAGCACTGTGAAAACAAAACAAAGATGTATGGACCAACTACTGTACCCGCCAGTGCCACAGCACAGTGTGGTAGGCAAGGCTCAGAATGCCTGAGTGAATCCTGGCTCTGCTAGCTACCCTGGGAAAGTGACCTAACAGCCCTGGGCCTCCACTTTCATATCTGGAAAGTGGGATAACAGAACGAACAGAGGGGGTGAGGATTCACTGAAGTCATTCATAAAAAGTCTTAGAATAGGGCCAGGCACGCAGTCAGTACTTGGTAAGTGCTGGTTGGGCACATGTGGGCTACCCTTTTGAAGCTGGTTGAAACAGATGCTCCCACTTAAACACAAAAGGGCATAACAAGGCAGTATGGATGACTAGGTACCAAGTGAGTGGAAAAGATAACTGAATTCTAAGAAGCAGGCAGGAGGGTGAGATCACCATGGCAGGAGAAGACTTCACGGAGAAGGAAGGCTTCAGTTGGTCTTGGAGGATGTGCAAGATTTGACTGGGCCACGGAAGGGCATCAGAGGTGGGGAGCTTGAGGGGAAGGGCTGGAGCCCCAAGGTTTCCCAAGAATTCAGCTAGAAGCCAAAGTGGTAGGCACATCTGATACTTCCAAGAGGATAAGCCAAGTCTTTTCATTAAAATTTACAAATCAGAACGTTGGCTCTCTGTAGAGAAAGAAGTGATTTGTGTTAAGTTCATCTGACAAAAGAATTTACTGCTGAGCGCAGTGACGCAAGCCTGTAATCCCAGTGGTTTGGGAGGCTGAGGCAGGAGGTTTGTGAATTCAAAGCCAGCCTCAGCAATGGCAAGGCGCTGAGCAACTCAGAGAGATCCTGTCTCTAAAATAACACACACAAAGGGCTGGGGATATGGCTCAGTGGTTAAGCACCCCCACATTCAATTCGCAGTACCCCAAAAAAGAAAAGAAAAATGTTACCAAGTGACATTACAAAACCTATTGTGAAGAGACCAGAAGAAGCAAGAACCTATTCTAAAGAGAGCTTTGATTTATAAAATGGAAAGAGAGGCATATCAGGTAGGATGTTATTGAAAGGAATTATATTATTTGGTAAAGTAAAAAGTGTTCAAACCAAAAAGTGTTCCATTCATTCATTCTTTAATACATAGTGCTAGGTATTCAAGGGGACTTTGGTAATGATATTAAACATCAATACATCAATATGTATTGATTCCATATTTGTCATTTTTTATAAGCCAGAAAACAATTTAAAATAAATATCTGGAGGCAGGTTCACATAAAACAAGTATTTGGAAAACATTTCTTTGTAGTATTGTCATGAAAAATTTAAAAATCTTGGAGCTGGGGTTGTGGCTCAGTGGTAGAGCGCTTGCCTAGCATGCATGAGGCCCTGGGTTCGATCCTCAGCACCACATAAATGTAAAATAAAGATATTGTGTCCACCTAAAACTAAAAAAAAAATTAAAATCTTACTCTATGCAATTCCATAAACAAATCTGATCTGTATTTGAATAAGAATTATAAGAATTTGTTATTGAACTTTAAAAAAATTAATCTAATAACCTACAATGGAATTTCTAAATAAACTTTTGTTTGGATATCATTATGTACAAAGATAAAGTAATTCAAGAATCAGTCAATGAAAGAACCAACCATATTTTGCCCAGCACTATTCTAGTTGTTACAAAGGATAAGCATTTGAAGAGAGAAGACTTTTTCTTTCAGTCAAGATGGAGCAATAGCAATTGGATTTATTCCACCACCTGGGAAGGAAGGAGGGAAGGAGGGAAGGAGGGAAGGAAGGAAGGAAGGAAGGAAGGAAGGAAGGAAGGAAGGAAGGAAGGAAGGAAGGTAGGTTGGTTTTTAAGACTGTTTGAGGCAATGAAGGACAGTCACTGAAGGGAGGGAAAATGAACAAAGTTCTACAGTTACCCCATCTTATTGCCTCATGAGGATTTCCAGGCTGTGCACAAGGAAACTCAGCAACTTCTCTGAATTGATGATAAAACTGTGAGTCCAAAGAGACTAAGTGTCTAGAATTTACAAGACAGGGTGCTGGAGAGGAGAGAGCTGTATAGAGGCTGGAGGTGCCTGAAGAGTCCCCCTCAAGTATTTGGCATGATTAACTCATGTGTGTGAGGAAGCTACCCAAGGCCAGGGAAAGAACTGCCTAGCAGATTAGAGAACAGTGCCAGGTTCACACAAGACTGGGAACAGTGGCTGTTCCCACGACAAACTAGAAAACTTCATAATTCATGGGGCATTGAGTACAATACTCAAAGGGTAGTGGAGAATAATTAACCCTACACTAAATAATGCTCTGTCCTGCCTAATAACTCTTAAAAGCAAGACTAAAAGGATCACACTGAAGCTGGGGATGTGGCTCAGTGGTAGAGCGCTTGTCTAGCATGCAGGAGGCCTGGGTTCAATCCCCAGCACACACACACAAAAAAAAAAAAAAAAAAAGAAAGAAAGAAACTGTTTCCAAGTAATCATCTGAATCCCACAACAAAACTCAAAAATATTTATAGAAATACCAAAAACCTCTTGTAAGATAAAATTCACAACATCAGCCATCTAATCAAAGATTTCCAGGCATACAAAATATTAATTATAAGGAGAAAAACCAATCAATCAATTAAAATTGAACTAGGACTGACATAGACGTTAGAATTAACAGATAAGTATGTTAACATAGTTACTATCACTGTATTTCATAATTCAAAAACATGCATCTAAAATATGCAAAGTGAACTTTTAGAGCTGAACACTACATTGAGTAAGATGAAAACTATGTTGACTAAGATTAATAGCATATTAGATATAGCAGAAGAAAATTATTGACCAGAAAGGCAGAAACTATTCAAAATTAAATACACAGAGAAAAAAATAGTTTAGTCGGGTGTGATGGTGCACGCCTGTAATTCCAGCAAATCAGGAGGCTGAGGCAGGAGGATCGCAAGTTCAAAGCCAATATCAGCAACTTAGTGAGGACCTAGGCAATTTAGCAAGACCCTGTCTCAAAATTTAAAACAAAAAGGGGCTGAGAATGTAGCTCAGTGGTAAAGCACCCCCGGGTTCAATCCCTAGTAATGGGGGGAAAAATAGTTTAAAATTAAAGAGCATCAGCTATCTATGGGACTTCAAATAGTCTAAGATATATGTAATATATGAATTGGAGTCCCTGAAAAAGAGGGGAGTACAGAAAAAATATTTGAAGACATCATGTCCAAGCCAGGCATGGTAGCACATGCCTGTAATCCCAGTGTCTCCAGAGGCTGAGGCCAGAGAACCCCAAATTCAAAGTCAGCTCAGGCAACTCAGCCAGACCCTGTCTCAAAGTAAAAAGGGCACAGGAATATATAGCTCAGTGGCATAGTGTTTGACTAGCATGTGCAAAGCCGTGAGTTCCACCCCCAACACCTTAAAAAAAAACCAAAAAAACAAAAAACAATGTTCAAGTATTTTCTAAAGTTGATGAAAACTACAAACCCACAGATCCAAGAAGTTCAAGAGCCCAAAGCACAAGAAATCTGAAAAAAAAAAATGCACTAATATACATGTAATTAAATTGCTCAATATATGTGAGAAAGAGAAAATCTTAGAAGCAGCTGGGGGGCATATTATGTAGAAGAATAAATATAAAGATAGCAGCAGATTTCTCCTTGGAAATAGTGCAGTGAGAAAGAATACTTCAAAATATTTTAAGTGCTAGGAAAATCCCCCAACAATTTGTCAATCTAAATCTTTAAACTAAGCAAAAATACCTTCAAGGGCAATCCCTACTGCAGTCCCCTCTTGACCCTGTGAGAGTTCTGTTTCTATTCTTTACACTTGAATAAATCCCACTCCTTTCACAATTAAAATAAAAATTCTTCAAAAATAAAGGTATGCTGGGTGTGGTGGCACATGCCTGTAACTCCAGCAATTTAGGAGGTTGACACAGGAGGATCACAAGTTCAATGACAGCCTGGGCAACTCAGTGAGACCCTGTCTCAAAAAAAAATTATTTTTTTTTCTTTTTATAAAAGGACTGGGGATGTAGCTCAATGGTAAAGGGCTTGCCTGATATGTACAAGGACCTGGGTTTGATCCCCAGAACCATAAACAGACAAACAGGTATAATAAAGATCTTTTCAGGCATACAAAAACTGGAAGAATTCATCACCAGCAGAACCACACTATAAGAAACTGTTAAAGAAAGTCTTTCAGGAAGAAGGAAAATGATACCAAATGGAAACTTCTATCTACCCAAAGGAATGAAGGCAAAACCACAAGATTAAAAAAAAAATGTTTATATCTTTTTAGAAGATAACTAACTGCTTAAACAAACAACAAAAAGACATATTGCGTAATTTATAACCTGTACAAATAAAAAAATATAACAATAAAAGAGAAGGGTCAGGAGAAGAGAAATGGAAGTATATTATAGAAAGTTTCTTATACTATATGTGACATGGAGGAAGTAGGCTATGATAAGATATGTATATAATAAACCCTGTAGCAACCACTAAAACAACAAAACAAAAATTGTAGCTACTAGATGAAGAAAGGAGATAAATGGAATCATGAAAAGTATCAATCAATTCAAAAGAAGGCAGGAAAAAATAAAGGAACAAAAATGAAATACAGTAAATACAGAAAAAAAAAACGCAAGATAATACAGATTTAAACCCTAACTCATCAATAATTACATTAAAAGTAAATGACCGCAGGGTAGGGTGAGCCAAGGGGTTTGAGACCAATCTGGCAATATAGCTAGACTGCATCTTAAAAACAACAAACAAACAAAGTCAACAGGCTATCCTGTATCCATGTACATGAGGTATCTATGCAGCCAAACTCAGAAACATAAACAGAATGGTAGTTCCCAGGGGCTAGGGGAGGGGAAAATGGAGTTATTTAATGGATATAGAATTTCAAGTTTGCAAGATAAAGAAGTTCCAGAGATTGGTTGCACGATGATGTGAATATACTTAGCATTACTAAATTGTATACTTAAAAATGGTTAAGATGCTAAATTTTATGTTATGTGCTTTTTACCACAATTAAAACAAAGCAACCCCACGTATTTCTTTGAGGTGAAAAATAAAAGTAAATGGTTTAAATGCTCTAATTAAAAGGCAGAGATTGTCAGACTGGATTAAAAAAAGCAAGAGCAAATTATATGGTACTTGTAAGAAGTACACATTTACTATAGAGACACAGATATGTTTAAAAAATTAAAGGATAAAAAAAGATATACCATGCTAACACTAAACAAAAGAAAGATGGAGTGACTATATTAATATCGCACAAAGAAAACTTCAGAGCAAAGAACGTTTCTATGACAAAGATCATTCCACAATAATAAAGGAGTTAATTCATCAAAAAGTTTATGGACTTACTAACAACAGCTTTAAAATACATGACATAAAAATGAATAGAACTGTAAATGCAAATGTAAAAAAATCCTAATTTCAATACTCCCTCTTAATAACTGATACACGAGTAGGCAGAAAATAAGCAAGGGTATAGATGACTTAAACACAGTCAACTTGACCTAATTGATATTTATAGACTACACCACCCAACAATAGCAGGATGCACATTATTTTCAAAAGCACAAGGAGAATTTACCAAAACAGGCCATATTCTGGGCCGTAAAACAAGTCTTATTAAACTTAAGATTCAGTTCATACAAAATGTTCTCTCACCACAATGGAATTAAGTTAGAAGTCAGTAATAGAAAATTTCTTGGAAAATTCTCCAAATACTTGGAAATTAGATAATGTACTTCTAAATAACTCACAGTCAAAGAAAAATACAAAAGGGAAATGAGGATGTATTCAGAACAGAATGAAAATGAAAATCCAACCTATCAAAATTTGTGGGTGCTATTACATCAGCACTTGAAAAATCTCAAACCAATAATCTCTGCTTCCACCTTAGGGAACTAGAAGAAAAAAAAGAGCAAATGCAGCCCAATAGGCAGAAGAGAGGGAATAATAAAGATCAGAGCAGAAATCAATGAAATAGGATACTGGAAAACAATGGAGAAAACCCAATGAGGCCCAAAACTAGTTCTTTGAGAATATCAATACTGATAAACCTCTAGCCACATGGATTAGGGGAAAAAGAGAAAAGACACAAATTATCAATATCAGGAATGAAAGACCTGACTTCTTCACTTGAGATTTTACGAGTTGCTGAAGTCATGTACAATGTGGCTTTTTATGGGAACTCTGCTACCAAAAACAGACATGTCATTGTAATTTCATTTATATGAAATTTTAGAACAGGTAAAACTACAGTAATCGAAAGAAGATCAAGGATGACATGGGGCCTGGGATAAGAAGATGGATATTGACTGAAAATGGGCACCTAGATACTTTGGTGGGGGGTAGGAGTATTCTGTTTGTGGTGGTGGTTACATGGGCAAAATTCATTCAAAATGTACACTTAAAATTGGCACATTTCATTTATGAAAATCATACCTCAATAAAGTTGAGTCTTAAAAAAAAGACATGTAAAATGCATAAAGCACAAGCTATGAATGCAATTTAAGGGAGTTGTGAAGTCTGCCAACGCTTCATATTTTTCATTTTTGGCATTTTAGAGAGATTTATTTTCAGCAACAAAGAGGGATGTAAATGGAGCTCTCCACTGCTACAGGACCCTAGACCAATAACCCTATATTTCCCATAACTTATATATCAAAACAATCAACATTAAACATTAACCAGCCATTACAAAGATATGTTGTACTTTTAAGGAAAGAAATACCGGGGCTGGTGGTGTAGCTCAGTGGTAAAACATGGGCTCAAGGCCCTGGGGAGGGGAGGGGAGAGGAGGAAGAGGAGGGAAATAAGATCAAGAATGCTAGACACCAGCAAGGTGGCACATGCTTGTAATCCCAGCTATCTGGAGACTGAGGCAGGAGGATCATAAATTGGAGGCCAGCCTGGGCAACTCAGCAACATCCTCTCTTAAAATAAAAAAAAAAAAAAAAGAAAGAAAAAAGGGGCTGGGGATGTAGCGCACTTGCCTAGCAAGTGCAAGGCCCTGGGTTCAATTTCCAGAAATACACACACACACACACACACACGCTTAAAGACAAGAGACAAGGGATAGATGACTTTATTTTCCAATAATACCATCCTGGGTCATCTAACTGCATAATGAGGTGTCTCTCTACTTCGCTCCATACAAGGGCCGAGGATGCAGAGGAGGAGACAGACGCGGTTGGTGCCCTCGTGGTGCTTACATCCCAGCGGAATTTTGGGGGGGCTGCAAACATCCCAAGTCAAGATGCCTTAATGTCTTAATGTACTGGCTTAATGTGTGGGCTCTATGCCAGGGAATCAGGCAGCAGAGCTCCAGGGGTTCCCTACTTCTCTCTGGGCAGCGAGGATCATAGCCCAACGGCCTCCCCATCCCCATCCTGGCAGGGCAAAGTCTGGAA